TTCCCGAGGGACAGACATCATCCCATATCGGATCATCTTGAATACCATGCAAGTAACTAGTTGCGAGCGAATGACGTGAAAATGTCTGGAGATGATTTATGAACTCGCAGACAGTGGAAGCAAAATCTTTAAAGTTCAGATCTATCTTGTTGTGGAATGAAATTGTCTCACCCCCCCCCCCCCCCCCCCCCACCACCAAGCCGTCTGTCTCGTGAATTGTTTGTGCGTGAAATTAGAATGTCATCTAATATGTGATTAGGAATTGAACTGCGGAGGAGGAATTTGACATTTTGTGAATTGTTAGAAACTTTCTACGTGTCTTGACACACTGTGTTATACCATGTAAAAGTAAGGGGGGGACCAATCTGATATGGAGCGGTGTCAATCAGAAAACAAACAGGCAAAACATGGTGGCTCCATAGAAAATCTCTTTAAAAACAGAAACTTCTATAGTTATAAACACTGAATGCCTTTCAGAAATAATATATCAGAGAAGAGGTATTATGGCCTAGTTAGACGACGTCATAGTAATCTGGAGAAAGTACCGGCGGTAGGTAAGTAGGTAGGTAAGTTGTACCCCACCAGGACATCAGACAAGCGATAAACCCCGGTGACACAAAGTGCCACCATGCGGATGAGGCTCACCCGTGAAGTGGTCTCAGAAACCCCGTTATGCCATATTTAAGGCGCGGCTATATTTAGGTCCCCCGGCAAAAGCCAGGGTGGGGCTTAAAAATAACCAAAAAAAATTACATCCCACGTGTGGACGACTGTTATTTTTTTTTTTAAACAAATACGCCGGCGAAGGATGTAACTAAAGTAAAGTAAAGGACCCTTCTATGCCATTAGGCAGATAGGGCATATAGGGCTAGACCCAAATTTTTTATAGACCAATCAGCACAAGATGGGTGATGTGGTCAACATCACGCCGGCCGCCTTTACTTCCTGTGACTGCACCCGGTACCAACTCAAGGCTGGGTCGACCTGGGAGCCAAGATCATTTTTGAAGAAAGTCCGGCTCCTCCATGGAGCGAACCCACGACCTTCTGATCCGCGGCGAGCGTCTAGCCGCTCGGCCACGACGACTTCCTGGCGAAGGGTGTGTTCTCGCAAAACGAGGCAGAGGCCGACCGCCGGGAAGGTAAATACAGGACACTGGAGACGCACTGTCTATGAAAGCACATTGGGCTGGCTAATTGGCTGGACAAAAGAGAGAGAGAGAGAGAGAGAGAAAGAGAGAGAGAGACTTGCTGTTTCATGAATGTTGACAAGAGAAGACAGTAGAATAACCACTGTTATACAGGCTTATAAAAAAAAGTAAAGACCTTTTCCACGCCTTTAGGCGTATAGGGCATATAGGGCTAGACATATATTTTTATAGACCAACGGCACAAGATGGGTGATGTGGTCAGCATCACGCCGGCCGCCTCTACTTCCCGGGATTGCACCCGGTACCCACTCAAGGCTGGGTCGACCTGGGAGCCAAAGTCATTTTTGAAGAAAAGTCCGTCTCCACCAGGGAGCGAACCCACGACCTTCCGATCCGCGGCGCGCGTCTAGCCGCTCTGCCACGGCGACTTTCATACAGGCTTATAGAACCACCTAAATCAAATTAGTAACAAAGGGGAGTTATATAATATGAAAATAAACACTACGAAGACAGAGACAATGATAATAGGAAGACATAAAGACGATGTAAAAATAAAATTAAAAAACAACACCCTGAGTAAACAGAGGAATTTAAGTATTTGGGAGCAATTTTTACATCCGACGGAAAACTGGATAGAGAAATTAGCTCCAGATGTGCCAAAGCTAATCATGTAATGGGGCAACTATCTCCCCTGTTGACACACAAGCAGATACCTCGGAGTACTAAAGTGAATCCTATCATAACTATTTTTTGGCCAACACTATGCTATCAATGCCAAACGTGGACACTTACATCCTCCAATGAACGTAAAATTATGACAACAGAGATGAAATGCCTTAGAAGAGCTGCAGGAGTTTCAAGGAAAGAGAGAATACGAAATCATGAAATGAGACGAATGCTAGGAATAAAGCCAGTCTTACAGGTCATCAAAGAACAACAAATGAAGTGGTTTGGACACCTAACAAGAATGTATTGGTACTATCCGCCACAGCGAGCCACACTATAACGTTACAACGGGTATAGAGCGAGTGGAAGACCTCGGAAAATATGGAGTGATGGCTTTAAGAACAGCCTTACAGAAATTAACATGAGTCTTAATAGTGCTCTTGACAGAGCTCATCAACGAACATTACCCCGACACTTCGATGAGGTAAAAGGTGGAAGAGAAGAAGAAGAAGATACAGGCTTATGCCCAATCTAATCTGCGACAGTGAAGAAGAAAGAGAGCAATACTGTCGTCATTTTTCAGACACATCAATTAGAGTGAGTGAGAAAGACGACAAGATAAGTATGGGTGATTTCAACGGCAAAGTAGGTAAAAGAAGAACACCGTAGGACCATTCAATGATGTGGGAATGTAATAGCACTCAGTCTGTGTTTGAACTGGTACTATTAATAACAAACAGGTGTGTGTGTGTGTGTGCGTGCGTGTGTGTGTGTGTGTGTTTACATCGGTGTATTCATATCAAAATTTGATTCACAAAGGAATAACATTTACAAGCCATTGAAAAATCAACTTTATTCTAACGAGGAATACAGAAAGAAGAAAATGTTTATACTCAAGAGCACAACCAAGCGCAAACACTGATGTGATCATAAACTAGTTTTAAAAGGAAAGGGAATCAAGTGCCAGAAAACCTAGACGTAATAAAATAATTACAGAATGTCATCAGTGCGAATACGTTACAAGACAGAACTGTCAAAAGCGAATTTAACAAGATGTATAAAAAGTATTTTATAACCTTTCTGGTAAGTTCTCAGATGCAGAGACTGAATGATCAAACTTCAAATCTGCCATCCTCAACACTTTCAAAAATTATTACAAAACCAAATAAATAGGACAAGACAAACGATTAAGAACTGTTTTGTAGAAAAACAATGCCATATATGATATTTCTAAAAGAAAGTAAGCATACATTAAAAATGGATAAAATCCAAATTTGAACACGATTATGCTATAAATGCACGAAGGTTATTAAAAATTCAGTCAAAGCGAACGATAAGGGCTTCAGAAGATCCATTCTAGGGAAGTACAGTAACAAAAAGCAGGTACCCCACTCATGAAGTTACCAAAAGAATGTCGAAACAGTTTAAATCAAGGAAAAGGAAAGAATAACCAAATAAACAACAAGAAAGGTTTCATCCAAACAAGTGGCTAGCAAGAAAGGCAGAGTATTTTCAAGAGCCACTCAACTGCGAGGTCCATTGTGACCTGAAAGCCATCGTGACTTGGTTTTTTAACACGAATTAGTAATCACAAGAACTGTTAGACTCTCAAGTTTAGACGAACAAAAAAATGAAATGACTAATTCAAACTAACCACAGAAAGGCGTACCCTGTCACAACATCAAGAGGCAGGGGACTTCCGAGAAGAATATGGATTGAGAAGTCACTAACACCCCCCCCCCCCTTGGCTCCTCGTCCTGCGATGCCTAGCAGACACACACACACACACAACAAAGAAAGAAGGGGACTTTGCAGTTATCACCCATGAATATGCAACCAACTTCTCGTAGCTTCACAAGCGCGAAATGATGACGCCTGTTTTGTGTTCAAATGAAACTTTCCTAACCTGGTGAAATATTCATAGCAAGGTTCCTCCTAAAGGCTTCGTCTAGACTGGGATATACCCCACAGTGATTTTCGAACAATGGCAACAGTATTGACACACGTGGCTGACTGTCCAGTAACAAAATGACCAGCCTAAGCCACCGCAGTGTCTGCATGATAATCTGCGCGCTCGTTGCATCGAACACCCGTATGACCCGGCACAGAGATGAAGGTTTGGTTAGCGACATCACAAAGTGCTTAGAAGCAAAAGCTGTTGTACAGAAAAGCCCTAAAAATAAAGCCCTTAGTTTGGATGGAATAACTACAGCAGCCTTTAAAGCATGTATTCAAATGTTCAGTACAGCACGGAAAGAAAAAGACTTGACTGGCTGCAGACACTGATAGTACCGGCTATGACAACGAATGTTACTACAAGGGATTGTAAGTCCTACATATGTATATCAGTCGTGAGCCCCATGGGGGAAATGTATGCAAACATATTAGAAAAGAGAATTAGATCTACAGCTGAATAATATTTAAGTAAATCACAGTTTTCTTTCAGAAAAGGCAAGGTTTGCATTGATACGTCATGTAACTAAGACACTTTTTGAGCATCTACGGCTATGCCCGGTGTGCTATGATGTCGACATCATAGCACACCAGGCATAGTCGTAGATGCTCCGTCTCCCGCAGCAAATGACGTAAGGTGTAGATGCTAACTTGACCTGTAGTACATTGATTATACACGCGCCGATCTCTTCCTCTCATCTGTCCCTCTTGCCGGATCCACACATTCTTGCCCATGTTATTTCATATAATCTCGTGTCTTCTGCCAAAGGTCGCTCATATATGGTCTTCAGAATATCTCACTTGTCCAGTACGAGTGTTCCCATAGCTTTCGCTTTTGTAGCCAGATAATCGGCTCTTTCATTCCCTCGTATTCCTGGTGTTATCGTGTATTCATCTTTCTTTCTCTCTCCCTCTCTCTTATTCCTGTATTTCCTGTATTCTCTTTCTTTCTCTATGCGACGTACACACACTCACTCTAACTTACAAAATCTCGCTATCACCCACACAAACTCTCTCTCTCTCTCTCTCTCTCTCTCTCTCTCTCTCTCTCTCTCTCTCTCGCTCTCTCTCTCGCTCTCTCTCTCTCTCTCTCTCTCTCTCTCTTTCTCACTCTCGTTTTTTCGGTTGCACTCTTCCACTCTCTCCGTCTTATATTTTCTCTCCCTATCTCTTATTGTCCTTTTTTATTGTTATTATTATTAAAAGTAATTTTATTTTTCATGTTTTTCAGATGGCAAATAGTTCGGGTTCGTCCACCCATGGATGCTTCTTCAGAATTTCTATGGATAAGAATTTCAACTGGAGCTCTAGCTACCTTGATATGAACATGTCACACTGCCAGAAAGAAAACATTGGCATCTCGTTTTCGCAGGGTTTCTATACTTACGTGACTCCATTTGTGCTAACCATTGGAATCGTTGGCAATATCCTCAGTATCGTCGTATTTATGTCTAAAAACATGAGAAAACTCTCAGCGAGTACTTATTTGGCAGCACTGTCTGTTTCTGACATCTGCGCTTTGTTTTTCTATGTCTTCATTGATTGGCTACGGCGGGGGCTCCCATATTTTCCAGGAAAATACGAAGCGACTTTTTTGGAAGAGCAGGGGTTGTGTCAGCTACAGACTTATCTGAGTTATGTCAGTAGGTTTGTTTCCGCGTGGATTATTGTCACCTTTACTGTGGAGAGATACATCGGCGTCTGCCATCCTCTGAAGCGGAAAGATATCTGTGGCAGTCGGTCATCGCAAAAAGTTATCGCCAGCGTCATTGTTATTGCCTTGGTTTTGATGGTCTACAAACCGGCATTGACTGGACGCCACGAAAACACAAGGATACAACAAACTGTCGCCAGATGCAGCAGAAATCCGAATCTGCCATTGCTGTCATTTATACTCGATTCCATTTTCGCACTGTCGATAACATTTGTGCCCTTTTTGTTGATCAGCATTTTAAATTTCTTCATCATTCGTCGCTTATATCTTCGCAACAGGCGATATCTTAAAAAGAATATCGTCACAGAAGAGAGCATTATTCGCATGGAGTTCACCGTAATTCTCTTAGTTGTGTCTTTCGTTTACGTTGTTCTTAACTTGCCATATTTTTACTTTTGGTGCAAGCGATTTCTGGAGGTCTTTCAAAGTAAATCAGCTTTCTTTGATCATTCGGAGGCAGAACTGCTGGTAACGCGAGTTGTCTTTTATCTGAATTATTGCATCAACTTTTTTCTGTACAGCGTGACAGGTGCTTACTTCCGCAAAGAGCTCAAGGTCTTATTTTGGTATCAGAAATATCATGAAGTCAACAACTGCTCGCGTTTGAGTAACCATAGCAACCATTCCACGCGACACAGTTGGGTATGACGTTGCTGCCAGCGGCATTAGCCATGAGCTATTGCCAGTCAGTTTTTGACCTTTGGATTTATCAATGAATTATCCGTGCACACAATTTTTTTTTTTCGGGTATGACGTTGCTGTCAACATCATTTGACGTGAACTACTCCCTGTTAGTTTTTGACCTTTGGATTTTTCAGACAATTGCCTGTTTACACAAATGCTCCCCCCCACGATAAAGCAAAGTAAGATAACCCTTTCTTAAATCCGAGGCCCAGCTTGCACATAACGCAACACTTATTTTTATAGACCAATCGGCATTCAGTGGGTGATGTGGTGAACATAGGGTCGGCTGCCTTGACTTCCCATGACATTATCTGCTTACCTTGTTAGGCTAGGTCGACCTGAGAGCCGTTGTCAAATGTGAACAGAATTCCGACGCGACTTGGAGTCGACCCCTTGAGCCACAACCTTATCGCAGCTCCATAATTTTCACAGTGGCACAGTAGAAGCCGTGGTAACGGAGTGGCTGGATGTTTCCTTGCCCGTCCAAATGTCTTAGGTCTAAATCCATATCTGACAGAGGTTGTTTTTTTTTTTTTTTTGTTACCTTTACGACGATGTCCCCCAAATTAGCCCAGCCTAAACTGTGTACCTGGGAGCATCCTGGCGAGTAAGTGTCACCGGTCAGATCTTGACCTTTCACTTATCGAGTGCCAAATAGTCCACAAAATATGGACCTCCAGCAGATGACCGATGAGGATAATTCTTTTATTAAAAGTTAGTTGTGGGGCCTTCACAGCAAGTTGCAGAACAAACCCCACCAAATTGTTGTTGTTATTATTGTTATTTTGGATTTTACCAGACAATATTACGTTCAGTAGTTAGCAATCGAATAGGGGCTTCGTGACAGCGACGTTGTGACCTGCTTCGGAAACTAGACAACATAAAAATTGAAAGGTAGAGAGATCATACCAGGACTTGAAACAGTGGCCTCTAATTAACAAGGGAGCTGGCTGGTGTAGTTTAACTCTTAACCAACTCAGCACCCTTTAAAAAAATGATGTTATTATCCGTTAGGTTGCACACACACTTACACCAACAACTATGGAAGACGGACAGAATTCATATGCAGCCATTCCAGTAGCACAGTTTTTCTTCTTGCTCTAGTTCTTCATGCTTCTTCTTCTTCTTCTTCTTTCTCTTATTTTTCTCCTCCTCCTTCTCCTCCTCCTCCTTCTCCTTCGACATTGCCTATCCTTAGGGTTCATTGCTGCAGATATCGCCCGCCTCCAATCATTTTTGTGTTTGACCTTCTCTTTACAGTTGGTGACTCTCGGAGTGTTTGTTGATCAGCTTGAGTATTATCTCTTCCCCCTTTACTCGGCTGCCTCGTTTTCTACTGGCATTCAGTTCACTTGTGTACACAGCTGTTGCTTTTCTACCGTATGTCATTCTAACCTTTCCTTATGTCGCCCATGTCCTTCATTTTCTGGCATAGTGGATTATATTTGGTCGCAGACAGTTTGGAATCAAACAGCTTTTGCGTTGACTTCGTCCGTTAGATGAGCTTCGAAACGTTCAGTAAGGCACGGTTGTCTGTTTTAGTAACGTTTCTCAGTAAAACCACCCACGACCAACAAAAGTTGGGGATGGCTGATGATGTATTGTAACAGAAAAGCAGCTAACTAAACAGAGATCATGGTCATTGTGGTCATCATCATCATCGTTTGTTGGCATTTTATGTAACTCAGAGCTTCCAGCTATACAGTGCAGTCCTGGCGGCGTGCCGGCCTTGAAAACAGTCGTTCACCAGGCAGGAAATGTGTCAAATCTGAGTCATCTACTGGTTCGACGGCAGATGACTTCTTCGCTGGTCGGGACAGTATATGGGTCTGTCTCCCTCGATCGCATCAACACTGCACGAATCCTTTTCTGGGCTCTTGGTGATTTGCAATAATAAGCCATTTTATGTTTCGCACATAACCTAGTCACAGTTATAACCTAAAGCTCTCCCTGCGGAAATGCTGGTTGAGCGTGACGATTTTTTTTTCGAGTATAGCAAATCTGAGTGGACTTTCCGCATGCCGTCCTGGGGGCAACTTTATATAAGGAACCTGCTGCATTACAAAAACAATGATAATGAAGATGATGATGATGATAATGATGATGATGATGATTATTATTATTATGATTATTATTATTATTATTATTATTATTATTATTATTATTATTATTATTATTATATATCACATGCCGAATTCCACAAACGTTGAATTAAAAGACAATTTCATTGCAGCTAGTATGTCCTCGGAAATTTTATTGAAGCATGGAAATTTGTGTGTGACATTGCTTGATTTGTCAAATACTGTATTATTTTGTGGTTGTATGTATACCATGTTGCATGGGGTTTCATGCTTTCTGTTGTTATTAAATTGAATTGTTTTTTCAAACTGAAACTGTCTTTGATCAATTCTACGTGTATCGTGTGCATGTGTGTGTACTTGGTTGTGTTGCTAAATTGTCGATTGGGGATCAAAACAATCATGTTTCTCCTTTACCTCTTCCTCTCCACCCCCCCCCCCCCCCCGCCATTGTTTCTTCTTGTTCTTGTTCTTGTTCTTCTTTTTCTTTGTTTTCCTCTGCATCTTCTTCTTCTTCTTCTTCTTCTTTCTTCTTCTTCTTCTTCTTCTTCTTCTTCTTCTTCTTCTTCTTCTTCTTCCTTATACACTACTAAAACAGCTGTTCTGTTCGCGATATTCTCAAAAACTTTCTTCAAATCCGCCAGTTTTTCAGAAGCTGATCCACCCAATGTCAACCATTCCATCTTTCTACCAGTCGTCCCCGTGTGGGATACAATTTTTTGTTATTTGAAGACCTACCCTGGCTTTTTCCGGAGGCCCTGAATATTGCCTAACGGCTGAAAGGGTTTTCTGGGTTCTCTCCAGGGTGATCTTCATCCGCATGGTGGCACTATGTGTCACCTGGTGTTTATCGCTTTTGTGATGTTCTGGTGGGGTACAAGAGAGAGAGAGAGAAAGAAAGAAAGAGAGAAAGAAAGAAAGAAAAGAGAGAAAGAGAAAGAAAGAAAGAAAAGAAAGATATATATATATATATATATATATATATATATATATATATATATTATATATATATATATAGAGAAGAGAGAGAGAGAGAGAGAGAGAGAGAGAGAGACTCTATCTACATCCGTGAAACTGCCTGCCAAAAGGCTGGTTCTCGTTGTTGGCCGGACCTGACGCTGCATTTGTGAATAAATTTTGCAATTTATAAATCTAATTCAGCCACCGGATTCTATCAGTTTGCCACTTTGTCAAGTAGTTTTTATGTAGAATTCAGAATGAGAATTTGAGTGGCTGTGGCACAGTGGAGGCGGCGGTTGTCTATCGCGTGCCTCTCAGGTCATGAATGTTTATCATTTGGGGCGTGACATTCTGAAGAACAAATTACTTTGTCTAAAAGTCCGATACAGTAAGATTCTTCTTCTTTTGTCTTCTGTTGTTTCCTTGTGCTTCAAGGCGTCGCGGTTAAACAACACACAAACTCACACACACATTTTACATATATATATATATATATACATTTGGCAGAGCCAAATTTTTCTAATTTTTTTAGTCGGATTTAGATGATGATGTCAGCTGTATATGCAATCGTGGGGCTCTATGTTTAAAACAAAATAGAATTTGTTTTTCGAAGGAATAAGTGTATTCCATAATGATAACAGTTTGGGTATTTTGACAGAGTGGGCAGCACAACATATTTATGTATGATCAACCTTCGAAGGCTACTATGGCTAGAGGACACAAGTGACAGATGAGAGATTTTGAGATTTTGTAGTATTAAAAAAAAAAAGTAAAAAGTAAATCCCTTTACACGCCCTTATGCGAATTGGGCATGGGAAGAACCCTATTTTTACAGACCAATCGGCACTCGGTGGGTAATGTGGTCAGCATTACGCCCGCCGTCTTTAGTTTCCCCAGGACAGCCCATCCTGGTACCCATTTGAGGCTGGGTCGACCTGCGACGTCCCATACTACAATAAATATCCACGCAGCCCACGCAGGTTTCGATCGCGGTACGTTGGATTACGAGTCATACTCGCAACGCCTTAGCCACTGACGCCGCGTTGTAGTATTAGGCTGTCAAAAATGCCTTCGGTCCATCTTCTTCGAGGTCTCTCTACATAATGATCTTTTTAGTTTTCTGTCGGAATCGTTGGATACATTCTCACTAAGATGACCGAAAACTTTCAGTCTTTGCTTCCTAATGAATATAACGATAGATAATGTTCCAATAGTTCTTATAATCCCCTCGTTTCCCACACGATTTCTTGTGGGTTGTTTTCAGCCTTTTTACTGGGAGTTATATCTACTTACAGCCTTCTGTCGTGTAAACGTTTACTCATTATGACGCAGATTATCTTCCATATCGTAATATTATACTATACAGCATCTTCTCTCTCTCTCTCTCTCTCTCTCTCTCTCTCTCTCTCTCTCTCTCTCTCTCTCTCTCTCTCTCTCTCCCCTTTCAACCGCCACAATATACTGCAGTTTTCTCCTTCTCCTGATGTCACCAAAGACTGTAGACTGTCCCCTCTAATGTGGGCGATCAGTTCTCTTCGTTGGTCAGTTCAAGACATTGTAAATATACGTCGAGGTTTGTGTGATTGTGAAACACATTCATTGCCATTAAACCACAGAGCAGCATAAGTTAAACCTGTATATACTAAAACAGAAATAACGTTATAACCTATCTAATCCTTCTCGTGAGTCTGTTGACACATTGGGCATTTAAAAGTGATCTCTCTTGCTGCTTTTCTGTCTAATGTATCCCATGTTATTTTACGTTCTGTCATTTCCTTTTCCCTTTCTGTTGTCCTTCTTCGGGTTCTCTTAGGGCTGCCCACGTCTTCTTTCACCGTCTGCCGTACACCGGAAAGCTGTGCCTGGAAAGGTTTCAGGAGACTTTCTGTAAACATTTCCAAGCTATCTCCATCGTTTTCCTTTAAT